TAATCTGGAAGCACATTTCGCACTATTGGACAGCCAAAAGTTTGACAGAATCTATGAATCAAAAGAACTGAATAGAGAAGGTGAGGTCGTATTGACTAGAGATACTGTAGTCGTTGAGGTTGAAGAAGATATATTAAACGAGGAAAATCACTTACAATCTCAAGGACTTGAACACATTAGTGATATAGAACTAGAGGTAGCTGAAGAAGTTGAGGGGGGAGAAAAAAAAATTGACGTCAGGACTAAGCATGACTCTAGTGCAAGCTTAGGGTGTGACCAGAAGCTGCTTCCTTTGGTTATCCCCATGACCACTCAAGAAATGCCAGCAGCTCCCTTATTACTTTCCAAGGCTGCTATTTCTCCCGAAAATAAGATCAGACCAGACGATGGTGAAAGAATATCTCAAATGATTCAGGACACAGTCCAGGACCATCTCAATCAACAATATGAAAGTCAAAAACAGCAAACAGAACTCACATCTCCAGTAAGTACAATGAATGAAGGGAACGACAATAGACATAAACAGGACCAAGCAGGGGGAAATAGTGACAGTGAAGGTTGTTTCTTCAATAGTAGACAAAAAGGAAGCCAGACTACACCACCCAGTCTAGGGGCAAGGCGACAATGGCAATCCTGCGATAGGTGTATTGAGGATAGTGTCAGGGGTAACAAGTGGCGACATAAAATGAAGGAAATGCGAAAGATGAAGAATATGCGGGTACCGAACAAAGCAGGTCAGAAGAAAAAAGCCGAACTGATGGCTTGGCTAGGTTTCGACAGTCCTCATTCAGAAAAAAATAAGCAGGCTATGCATAAATATTACCAACATTACCGACGCCGTTTGGGATGCGGCGATATCATGCCAACCCCTTCATCGAAAAGTTATCGGCTGCCCTACGACAATTACGTGTCAACAGAAGGATTTCAACTGCCAGTAGCACCATCAAAGTCCGCCTTGAGCACACAACCACAGGAGGTTACGGCTTATTGTCAACATCTTGCTGGCTGGCCCTGGTCTATTATAGGTAAACAGATGGATGCCCTAGACTCTACGTTATACGGTTTGAGAATTTGTTTTTGAATAATATCTCTAACAATAAGCTGTACAACATTTTGCGAAAACTGAATAAGATAAGTGAATGGAATGAAATATAATTTGCACTAAATTGTAGGCTATAATGAAGCTAAAATAACAAAAATACAATATAATTATAGCAAAAATCAAAATAAAATATTGAAGGATAGGACTGAAAAATAGAAATACAGGGTGTTAAAAAAGTAATGGATCAAATGGTGCAGTAAAAAAATAAAACAAATTATTAGTATTAATATGATAGGATAAATTATGGGATAAAAATAGTGCTAAGTCTGATTAAATGGGATAGAGAAGCATAGTATAACACAAACATGTGTGACCCTATAGAATGCAAAACTCAAATGCGAAAAATACAAAATTAGACAATATAATAGACACTATCAAAACGAGTAATGATAATAAGTGATAAAATATGTAAAATGAATGTCAATGAATCGTTTAAGCTTTACCTTTGCTGAATATATTAGAGTACGATAGATTACACTGACAAACTATAATAACTAATCGAGGAACGCACCTTGTCTGGAGTCCAGGTAGAGGGTCCAACTCTAGAAATTATCACGAATACTATGGATTTCAAACGAGGTGCCAATTTGTGAAAACAGGGTCAGACAACTTCTGCAATGAGTAAATTGATTCAATATTTCAGATGAAACCTAATAATTTTATGGAAGAGTTAGTAAATTCTGACGATTCGAAAGTGGCAAATATGTCAAATCCCGGTTGTACATTTGACTAACAATAGATAAAATGGAAATAACATCTTGTTTATGCAACTTACCTCAAGGCACCTCAGTAATGTCCTTGATCTTCAATTATTCTAGGTGACCGTGAAACTAAATATCACTCTAGTAGGCACAAACGTCCCCACAGTCATCACTGTCACCGAAATCGCAGACGATTTCGAGCATTGAGCTGTTGCAATCATTCCAGTTTTGTACCTTCTGCATCGTTATATTCCTGCTGCCAGTCAGGAAATGAAGCCCTCAATGGTGGCTGCGATTATCTTTGTGACAGCAAGCACCATGGAAATTTCTGTCGTATGGCGGATGTATGTAATTATGAGAAGAAAATGGCTGAAAGGGATGCTTGCTTGTGCAAGAAAGGAGCTTCATCTGAACGCTATGCCGGAGTGGATTCAGGTAGAACTGGAGGCGCTAGTAGCGAAATAGTGCATGCAGACACATCTGCTTTCTGTAGCAGCTCTTTTGACCCTGCCTACCTGCACAGCTTTGGGGCTGAAGGTGTTAAACAACAGTGCTGTCCTTGCCACAGCAGATTCACAGGATCCTACAGTTCATCTGACCACCTATGTCCGTCAAATCTTACATTAAATCAGCAGAACAGTGCACAACTGAATGAGTTCTGCCCATATCGTGACCAACTTAACTCAACTAAAAATGGTAGCTCATGTCTTTCGAAAAACTCGTCTGTGGCCCTAACGAGTACTTCTATGTTGGTCCCTGTCACAGTTGCTGCACCTGGCTGTTCATCTGCGAACCTCATTACGAGCCCTTTGTGTCCCTCCGGCTCAGATCATGCTGTATATCCTCAAAAGTATTGCCAAGCCTTAAACGGAAACGGTATAAGATGGACAAATACAGGTGATCAAAACCAAGTTGGCTCAATGGGTAGACAGGTATGACTCTTCATTTCTTTCATCTTTTCTTGTTACATTTATTCACATTCCTATCGATGAAGGAATAAAGTTGTGAAGAAACAAGA